CTGTGCAATCATATAGACTAAATCAGATTGTATTTAATAGGTTTTATTGTGGGCAAAGACATGTGTACACTGGCATTGAGGAAATAGTGCTAAGATAGTTGGATCTCTGGATTAGGAAATCTGATTTTAGATTTAGACTAAATGCAATGAAAAAAAATCTATGGATTAGGACCAATCTGAGGAAACTGAGATTAGCTTTCCATCAGGAGACAAATGAATCAAAAGTTAATTGCCACTGATTTGGATTGAACTGTATAATGTGAAATGTTTAAAATATGAAATAAAAGACTAGGAATATTTTCAATGATCACCAGCACATTTAGCAATTGTTCAATAGTGATGTTTAGTTCATAAAGGATATAACCTTTTTTTTAAAAAAAAAAACCCTCAAACATACAAAGATTTTTTCCACATCTTAGTTTTCATGAGCTAAGAAAGAAATCTGCCCAGTTTCCAGTAATGTATTTACACCAGGGCCGGACTATATGTGGACCTCCAGATGATGTTGGACCACAGTCTTAGCTAGGCATTTAACTGAAACAGACCTCCCTATAGCACAATCATAGTAATGTTTACATGGCAGCAAAACTCACTGTATTCAGCGGGGCTCATTCCCAGGCAAATGTGTTTGGGAATGCGGATTCAAGAATATTACTAGCTGAGTTTGTGAGATCTGGTGGGCTGACGGATTGCTTTCGCTTTTTGGCAGAGCTTTAAGACTGTCCGAATGAACTCATCTCAGATTTGAAATGGGGTGGGCAAACTTGGCAGCATTCAGGCAAGGAGGAAAACGCCCATCTCCCACCAAGGGCTTTGGCCAGTTCTGATAAACAAACAGCCTTGACGCTCTGGAAGCCTCTCTGGCTCATTTGACACGTTGTGTTACAACCCGCGTCACTTTAAAAAACAGAGGTTTGCTATTTGATGCTCTGCACTAAAATCATCCAACCCTTTGAAAAAAGCCCTCAGGATCATTTGCTAAGAAGGCAATGTTCCAGCAAAATTCTGATTTAATTCATCACCTCATTTTGCGTAGGGCTAGATTGTGTTTTCTGTGCCCTAGACCCACACAAAGGGCAGAGACTGAGATCATACAAATCACTATATCCCTGGGAGTCAGTTTCTTTCAACTTGTGTTGCTATCTAATTTTGACAAATGGGAGCATAGTGTTTGCCCATTAGATGCAGATGTGTCATAAAAATGATTCACCATCCTGGTGGATTGCTGAGCAACATAGTGAACAGAAAACTATAAAAACCAATATAGTAGACTCTCAGTTAAATAGCCCTCACGGGGATCAATGTACTTTCTGGTTGCTTGAGTATTGCTATTAAAATAGGCCTAATACTAAACCCTATGCTGTATCAAAATATAAACTTTGTATTGACTTCATACTAATTTGGAAATATAGTAATTAAAAATAAATTAAGACAAATAAGGGTGGGTTTAATTAATGTAACATAGTTACATAATATGCATAGATTTTAATTTTTGTTTAAAGCAGGGGTCCTCAAACTAAGGCCTGGGGGCCAGATATGGCCCTCCAAGGTCATTTACCAGGCCCTCACTCAGGGTCAACCTAAGTCTGAAATGTCTTGAAAGCACACAACAACAATCCTATTTCATCAGCCAAAAGCAGGCTCACACTTCCCATTGAAATACTAATAAGTTCTTCATTTTAATTATTGATGATTTAATTATTGTATTGTATTGTAAGTTTTTTTGCACTACAAATAAGATACGTGCACTGTGCATAGGAATTCATTCATGTTTATTTTTTCAAATTATAATCTGGCCCTCCAACAATTTGAGGGACTGTGACCTGGCCCTCTGTTTAAAGAGTTTGTGGACCCCTGGTTTAAAGTATTGCTTCTTTTGGGTTTTTTTGTCAGTTGCTTGAGTTCCAGTTAACTAAAAGTCTATTGTATTTCCGTCTCTGAATTTTTTTTCCAATGTGTATCTCACATCTATGCACATCTCACAACTTTTTCTTTCTGAGTATATTCATACTGCTCAATGAAAAATTGGACACCACTTCAATTTTTTTACAGTGGAGAGCAAATAAGTGGATCACTCAAGTGGGAGGGATACCTGGAGTTCTTGGACCACAAGGACTACATTGAGGATTATGGTTTCAGATCATTGTCTATATAAATAAAGAGGCATTCGTAGAGTTAAAAGGATATTTTAATCTTTGAATGTAGAGGGGTACTGGATCTGGAACCAGGAAAACATCAGTTTGCAAGCACACAGTAATTGGCAACAAAAAGATGTAGTGAAAACAGAAGATCAGAAGATAAAAAACATAGGCCCCATCCACACATCCACTCTGGCATGGATGACTCAAGGTCAGGGTGTCCTGATAATGCCCACCCCACAATGTGAGTTCAGGGTAAACTGCATGATAAAAAAACTCACTAGAAATCCGGATTCGAGCCAAATGATTCATGGAATCCCTCCTGTGCCTGAAGAAGGCACAGGAAGGAGTGAATGCAAAAGACAGAATGCAAATGTAAACAGCAGTGGGGAAGCATCAGAATAATAAGGCAGTTGCACAGTCTAACCGAGGAGGGAAAAGAAAGTCTCCCCTTTCAGCCCTCTGTTGCCATAGGAGTGCTTGAAGCTCTTGCCTTGCTTTGTACAGCTCTAAAGCAATTGCTTCTTTGCCAGGAGGGAGGAATTAAAGCAAAATAAACTCCTGGGTTTTAACGGAGGCACTTAATTTGGACCAGAATGTGTTATCAGAGATCCGGTGGGTATGTGGACTGACTTTCATCTTTCTTCCGGTTCATATGATGCTTGTGCAGGCACTCTAGAGCAAACCTGACCTCTTAAATCCATATTCTTCTCTGGACTAAATGGTTGTGTGGAAGGACCCACATAAATACAAACATGGGTATAACAAGGATTTATATTCCCACCATTTTTGAAATGTGTACTCCAATAATATATATATTCAAACAAGGACTAGATGATTCAACTGATTGTGACCATTATTAATGGAAATATATTTAAAACCATAGTTTTGCTAGTTGATAAATTAAGATGGTTTCTATAACTAGTGAAGTGGGCAATGACCAGTCGCAAAATGGAAGTTAAGAAACGTTCACAACAACAATGAAAAGCCCAAGAAATAGTTAAAGATGCAAAATGAAAGCGTGGGAGATGTTGACAAATACAAATATGCTATAATCTGGCTGAGTGAACATTGTGAGGATATTCATGCAAACAAAGTGAAAATAGTGATGGACTAGAGAAGCTTTTAAAGATGATAAATGTACAAGCTTGAAAACATGCAGTGCACAGTGTTATATTGTTTTGGTTTTACTGTATGACATGGATTCATAGACTAATATAAAGCGTCTAAACAGATGTATTGCAGGATATTTCAGGTTTTCTGCATTGAGAGGGTGCCAGACAAATGACACAGTTATGGACAGAATTAACAGGATCTATCTACTTCTTTTTAAAATATTCACGCAAATGATCAGCAGTGGCTTAGGAACCAGGTATACACTGAAAATTAAGGAACAATATACTTCTGGAAACATATTCAGTTTAGGATTTTGTTTTAGTATCAGAAATGAAACAGGAGATCCAAGAGACCAATATCATTTCAGCCTTTCATTTAGTCCAATGCATGCCATGAGAATGTGGCCCCATTTACACAAGAATTATAATCCTACTGATCACTGGCTTGAGATCAGGGAATCTGCAAAGTATTTCCCTCCCCCCTCCCCCCAATGCAACCTCCAACCCACATCCAGCCGGAAACTATGTGTTAATAAAACTAACCGGAAATCATTGATTAAGCCATAAAATATGCTTATATTGATCACTGTGTAAAAAGCACAGTGCTATAAAGTGGAAGCAGAATTCAGAGTGCTTGTCAGGACAGGGTTTGTTGGAACTCAACTACATCTTGCACAAGTTTATAGTCATCATCAAGGAAACAGGCAGACAGATGAGTTAGGTGGCAGGGAAAACCCTTTCTCCATTGCCCTCTTTGTCTGTCCCTCTCTCTTACTCTCCTGTTTGTTAGACTAATACTTCTCAGAGACATGCGTTTTCTATTCAAAGTTTCCAGACCACATGGCAAGCCTTCTTTTTTGTTCTTCTCCTGTGAGCATGCAGAGACACACGATGTCTCCAGAGAGACAGATTGTTAGATAGGTAGGCTCTAACTTTCTGATGTAAAAATGTAGTTATTTCAATAAAGTCTTTTGTAATTTTAAAGCTTCATTTTTGCTCCTGAATTGTTGAAGCTCATTTGCTCTACTGCTAGCTCACGAAGCTTCTGATCTGCTAAAGTGTTGCTATTGCTGTTGCTGCTGATTTACATGTTTAAATGCTTTTTCCTTTTTGAAATTACTCAACAGGGTTAAACTCCAGGAGCTGCATACAAAAGCCAAATTCAGGTAAACAAACGCCTCCCCTCCAGCAAGGAAACACTGGATTTCAAAGCCTTGGTTTGCTCTGTTTTAAGTCAGCTGTTTTCAATCAATGCTTTTTTGCTGGAGAAACAAAAGAAATCCTGGATTTAGTTTGATCTGGCATCAGTGGAGCATTGTAGACTCTGTGGCAGCTTTGAACAGGTTTGAGGTGTGCCTGTCTAGGCATTCCAAGGCAAACCGAATTTCTTAAATCCAAATCCTGATCCAGATTAAATGGCTGTGTGGGATGGTCCTGTGTGTACATTCCTACTATCTACTGCAAGTGGCTTTGAAGATCATTTGATCAAATAAGGAATATGGATCTAATAAACCAGCATGCTTAAACCAGCAATACAAATGACAGCAGTGGTATGTTTATGTGTTTTAATCATGCTGTAACCTGCCTCAAGCCACGAGGAAAGGCAGGTAAAAAAATAAAATTATTATTATTATTATTATTATTATTATTATTATTATTATTATTATTATTATGTAGAAAACACTTAAGTATAATTCCTTATTCTTGATATTACACCATTCAACTAGCATTAGGCAAATATGCTAAATTTTTATAAGAAAAGAAAATTAAATCATAAGAAAGTTCCATATAGTTATTATGCCATCAATGGTAGGTGCCACATTATAGTAACAGCCTCAGATCCTAGGTGATGCTGGCAGAGCATCACGTTCTGTTAGTGTATTTCCATTGGATGTACTCATCCATCTCAGTGCAATGGGCTTTCTCAATGCTAGAGTTTACCCTGTGGGGAATTAAGAGGTCAGGGGGGAGCAGGGCACCTGGGCAGCATTTGGCTGAAGTTCTTTAGCTGGAAGAACAGACAGATCTCCAGTAAGTCACTGGGTTTTCCTGCTGGATCCTTCAATGACTCACTGGAGACCCAGGAAACAAATTTATTTTATTTTCTCACAGATGTGGGTTTGCAGTCAGATGCCGCAGAGTACCCCTGACCTTTCTTGGCCACTTATTGGCAGTAAGAGGTGTTTTAGTGCAGAAATGTTCCATGAGGAGCACTGCACAAGGAAGTACAGACTTTTCAATGTTACTGAAAATGAGGCAATACCACCGTATGTCACTCACATGATTCCAGCCTCTATCTCTTGCATGTAATATAGTTTTTCTCTCTCTCTTGAGAATTAATACATACATACAATATTTTAATATGATTTCAGGAGCATAATTTGCCTCTTAGAAAATATAAATGATAAGATCATTCCAAAGACCATAATGGCAAAAATAAGCTTCTCTAGTAACTGCAGAATACAGGGTCAATGTTAAAATGAGACCCCTCTTTGCTTCGAGATGTCTGCACTCTATAAAACCATAATTTTGAAAGGTACAACCACAATTTTGCAAGGTTAGACATCAGCAGCTGATTATTAATGGTAATCTACATAATAAATTTTGTTGTTTTCATACAGAATCCAAGGTTCACTATCAGCATGCATCTCTCATCTTTTCTGGCTGAGCTGTATGGCAGGTGCTTGGTGGGATGAACACAGATGGGTCGCTTATCCCAAGCTTTAGATCAAAGAAGCGTGTGGAGGTTGTCACACTGTAGTTCTTTGTGTAGGTCTCCTGAACTGGGTAGCAATCCTTGACTGTGTAAACACCAACCCAGGTCTCAACTGCAATGAAACACAGAATATTACTACTCTTATATGGGAAGCGTGGATAATGGTTTAGTTTTTCATAAAACATAAATTAAGGATTGAATTCAAATTAAGGATTAATGATACAATCCTCAAACCCACTTATTCTGGAAGTAGCTTTGATTCATTTCAATGGAAATACTATATTTTGATTGATTTCATGGTTATATAATGAACACTGTGAGATTCATTTAAACTTTCATCAGCTTAAATTCAGTATTGCTATATTTCTTCATTAAAATACATCTGACAGTGTGATATAGTAAGATGAAGAAACTGGTGGCCCTCCACATGTTGTTGGGCTCACATTCCTTTAAGCTTCGGCTAACAAAGCCAGTGGTGAGTGATGATGGGAACACAAATTCAACATCTTCTGAAGTGTAAAAATCCCCCAACCTTTTGATGAAGCAACAGAAAAGTGGCCATCGTACAGCCGTGTTAATCTAAGAACATACCTCACAAGTCTGCTTTCTTACAAGTGTGGGTACTAGATGTTTCTTGATCACTGATACATATCATTAATATTATGCCTTTCATTGAACCAGTAGCTATTTGGGGTTTGTTAGCTTTTGAATGCTAAATGGATTTCAGGTTATACAAACTCTCCAGGAGAAATTATGAAGTTAACAGACAACTTGCTGCAATGTCAGGTCGATGGCTACCCAGCTACAGAGGAGTTGGCATGGAGACATGGTCATTTCAGTGATATTCTGATGTCATGAATGATGCCACAAACAATGTAAACTCAACTCTTGGTAAAGTGAGAGACAATTCATTGCCAGACTGACACTCAACACTATTAAGACAGATCTTCATGACAGGTTGTATTATTTACTACATCTGTTATATTCATTTTTCTCATAGGTCATTAATACTAGAGTAATTTGCAGATTATTCACATGTTTGTCTTGTAAAAGAGATTTTAAATAAGCCAAACATTTCAGTCAAACATTTTTTAACCACTGATGGTGTGAATGAATATGCTCCTGAAGAGGAGACCAGAACTTCAAAGAATATCTGAGGGAATGAGTCTGAAGCTGGATCTACACTGCCCTATATCCCAGGATCTGATCTCAAATTATCTGCTTTGAACTGGATTATATTACCTCTGAGGATGCTTGCCATAGATGCAGGCGAAACGTCAGGAGAAAATGCCTCTGGAACATGGCCATATAGCCCGAAAAAACCCACAAGAACCTACTGGATTATATTAGTCTACACTGCCAGATAATCTGGGATAAGAAAACAATCTGGGATCAGATTCTGAGATATAAGGATGTGTTGATCCAGCTTGAGAAGGATGGATTTTGCTTCTTTGTCTGAACCTATGGGGAAGCAGTGATGTTTGTTAACTTTATGTGATGATGTAAGAATGGATATTGTAGCAACTGCTGTCTATCCTGGAGGCTGCAAATGAGCACTACAAAATTCTCTAAACATCTTTTTAAAAAATTCTAAAAATGTCAAAGAAACCTAGTAAATGTAGCATAACTACCAGACCATCCTTTATGCCCCAAAATGTTCCCTATAGTTCTCTTCCACCAGAAACAGTATCAAATTCCTTTCAGAATGTACAAATAGACCTGAAAAGTAGGGACAAGTTTGCGTTTCCTCTTGTCTTATACCTCTTATCATCTACCTCAGCACTTTTGATGACAGTATTCCCAGCCCTGTCTACTTGATTGTTGCACTTTTCTTGAGCTCCCTTCAGGATGTATTGCACTCACTGAGCCTGAACCTAATCTATGTTCTTTTTCTCAGCCATATTGTTTGATGTTGCTTATGATTGTGATTGTTTTTATATTTTATCTGATGTTTTTAATTGTTTGTGTTTATTTGTAATTTTTGGGCTTGTCCCTTGTAAGCTGACCCGAGTCTCCTTGGAGAGATGGTTGGCGGGATATACAAATAAAGTTATAATTATTTTATTATTATAGGGGAGAATGCAAAGAAAGACCTCTAAACATCAGTTTGGCAATTCTAGAGATATTATAGTGTGAGGTCATTATAACCTAGCAGCCTAAACTGAGAAGAAGAAAAAAACCCCGAATAACAAGTAAAACAAACAGAAGTGGTGTGGTTGCATTTCTTCCAAATCTAGATATGGATATTGTCAGCATCTGTCAGCCTGGCCAATGACGTGGAATGAGGAGGTTATGATTCCATTAACATCTGTAGGGATACAGTGATAGGAATATGAAAATTGTGTGCTTCTAGCACTATAAGAACCCAACCTGTCTTTTCATGGATACTAGTGAATCTGGAATGTAACAGGTAACAGGTATAAGCCCAGTCAGGCATCTTGGGGGTCTTACCTTAATGAACAAATGCAAGATAAGACCATCTATATCAGGGGTCCACAAACTTTTTAAACAGAGGGCCAGGTCACAGTCCCTCACACTGTTGGAGGGCCAGATTATGATTTGAAAAAAAACATGAATGAATTCCTATGCACACTGCACATATCCTATTTGTAGTGCAAAAAACACTTTAAAACAATACAATAATTAAAATTAAGAACAATATTAACAAATATAAACTTATTAGTATTTCTATGGGAAGTGTTTGCCTGCTTTTGGCTGATGAGATAGGATTGTGTTGTTGGGTGCTTTCAAGTTGTTTCAGACTTAGGTTGACCTTGAGTGAGGACCAGGTAAATGACCTTGGAGGGCCGTATTCGGCCCCCGGGCCTTAGTTTGAGGACCCCTGATCTATATAATGAGCCCTGCTGGATCAGACCAAGAGTCAATTTATTCAATTGTCCAGTTTCCACAATCAAATCTTTGAAATGGCCCAAATTGAGTTGCAATAGCAAGACCCGTTCTCTGCTGCTGCACCCCAACCAAATGGATCATGAATATTAGCTATCGATTGTCTTATCATATATGACAGAGCAGGGGAACGTGTTAAATTTGAGTTCCCTCAGCCCTCACTGGGCTTGTCAACAGTAAGATATGAAAGGAATAGTAATTATTTATTTATTTATTTATTTATTTGGAGCATTTATTAACCGCCATTCTCAGCCCACTCGGGCAACTCACGGCGGTGTACAGTACAAAAGGCAATTCACACAAAGACAAGTACAACAGCATATTAACCATACAACAATACAACAGTTAAAATTACACTAACTAATCCGCTTCGAATTAAAATTTCCCATTGACCTACAAACTTGTCTATTTGACTGAAGTCTTCTAAGCAAAAGGACTACAATACTTCTTGTGGTATTAAAATACCTAAATAAATTATGTATGACACATTGATCTTTTTTTTTTTGTCTCTCACAAATCTGACCCCCTAAGTTATAGTATTAATGGTAACACTCAACCTATTTCATTCATACTTTTATAAATGTCCACAGAATTTCCTTTTGTATAACCAACAAAATTATCCTACTGGCCATATTTCTTGTAAACTAAATAAATCAAAGCAATATTAAACTCCTTTAAGTGCCCAGACACCATGGTTTTAAAAAGACATGGAATCATCTTGAGAGGAATCCAGACAGAAGGCCAAGGCTTGTTATCAATCCATACCACTTATTTCTTGTAGGAAAGGAGACCAAAATTTTTGTTTCTTGCATGTTATACAACTGACGATAATAATGTAGGAACAGAATTGTGTGATATAAAGAAATAATGTGTAATTAATACAATTAGTGCTTACATTTTCTAGCTAGCTTTCTGTCAGACCACTCCTGTACCATAATTTGGTCACCAGGACCTCCAATGTAGTATTGATCTTCATAGGTTGAATTGTCAGGAATATCAAAAGGATCCCATGGGTCACTCAAAGGTACCTTAGAACACAGCTTTGTCACTTGTTCTATCTGAAACATCACTGCATCTTTATAGAGGTAGATGTATTCGAAGAACCTGGAAGAATGGGACAAGATCAGAATTAATATTCATTGATTCATTATACAAAATCAGGTAAGATATATGATTTATCTAGCCAATAGACTTCAACACAGGAAACTGCCATATACTGAGAACATTAATCTTGCTTATGCATTGCGAAGATTTCATTTTAGGCTTCAGAGTAAAAGTGGTCTGAAAGGCATTTCAGTAAAATAAGCATAATGGAAAAGAAAAACTATCCAAGACCTGTTGTTGGACTACTGAACTGGGAAAAACCAGCATATTTTAAGATTTCTGTTTTGACTTACAATGAATCCAATCTACTTCTTTCTTCTTTATAAGAAACAGCCTGCAGAGCTGTTGGAGGTTCCAACATTTAGAGTGCGGCACTAAGAACTAAAAAAATAGCCTTAAAATGTGTCATCCTTGATGAGAAAGAGGATGTTGGCACATGTAGAGACCCATTTTATGCAGTGATGTGGTTTCAGCAAAAGGAACACTTTAACTGAAAATGGAATAATATCTGGAGACTGCAACAATGTGAAAAATGCTTTGAGCAACTTTCTTTTTGTGACTTTAATTGCTTTTACCCAAATACATTTAATACTTCTCAGCTTTGCCAACTGAACAAACTCTCACTTATAAACAAGAAAAAAAACTTTCTGTCAGTTTCATAATTCTGAACTACAAACAATATGCTAATAATGCTAAATTATTATGCTAATAATTGCCACTGTTTTTCTGTTTAGAAAAATATAGTTTTTTCTTTCCCATTTGTGTTCAAAAGTAAACAATTTTTCAATGTCTTTCTGGGAAAAAAATCACAGGAAGCTAATTTTAATGTATTTCCATTTGAGTAAATTGGACACCTCCTGTTTTCACATACAGGTAAACTCCAAGTTACGAACACAATAGGTTGCGTAGGTTTGTTCTCAAGCTGAATTTATATGTAAGTTAGAACAGGTACATATCTGTTTAAGTGTAATTCCAGCCATATATATACAGAGAGAGGGAGAGGGAGAGGGAGAGGGAGAGGGAGAGAGAGAGAGAGAGAGAGAGAGAGCGCTCACGCTTTGGATAGCATAGGGAAGGGCTAACACCTCTGTGGTGTTTTACTGTCTGTTCCCCTGTTCTGAAGATTTCAACTCACTTCCTGTCCATGTGATAATTGGATTTTCCAAATTTGGCTTGTTGTGAAAACAAGGATTGGTGATAAAGCTTCACTTGAGACACCTTTTCCCCATGATAACTCTTTCAGGAGTGAATTTCCCTTCCTAGATAGATTCCTCTCACTTTCTGTTGTCTCACTCTCATTTTTTTCTCACTCCCATTCTAAGTTGTCTGTAAGTTGAAAGTTTGTAACTTGGGGACTACTTGCACTACATTTATCCTATCACCTATATGCCCTGCTTCAATCTAAAGACTACACACAATATTTCAGCATCTAACCATAGGTCTCCAAATACCTGTTACTATTTCCTTTCTATTACCCTTCCAAGGAGAAAGTTCAAAATTCAATATTTATTTTATTCTCTCTTTTGCCAAGACTCTACTCTGTGCTGAATCCAGACTTAGAGTAGATCCACTAAAACCAATAGCATTTAAAAAATAGCAACCAACTCAAGAACAACTGATTTCAGCAGGGTCTGTTTTTTATTTGGATACAGTCCTGTAAGTCTGGATCCAATTCAGAACTCATAATTAACTAGTTTCATGGATTTTAGATTACGCTGTTATTAATTTAGAAGTCTAAGTGTGAACTACCCAGAGAAAAGAAATCATGCATGGTGCAAATCCCAATACATATTTTGTTTAAAGGTTAAATACCAAGTTCCATCTGGAAGCCCTTTCTTTTAGAATGAAGAGTGTTTTTACTTCCCATCATTGAACCACAAATACTTCTCAGAAAGTTGCAATAAAAAATCAATAATCTCCTGTCCACCAAGGTGCTTTGAATCTAATTTGTTCTTTTCCCAATCACACGAGATTCAGAGAACAGTCCTTCAGAAACAAGCATAGGCATTAAGGATACAACATGTCATTTCCTAATTAGTGAATAGGCAAATAATTATCCCCTTTATACAGGATACAATATGTTCTCCCTGCCCTTTTCAGGACAATTGAGTACTGTGAATAATTATGCCAGTAAAGAATTCTGCTAATCACTATTTGACTTTATCAGAGTGACAGCAATAACGTTTGATCCAAGAATTCTGTTGGATAACAATCAAAAGATTAATTTCAGATTTCTTGAGCCTGTACAAAAGGATGCTTTGTTAATTCTATAGATATTTAAACATCTAAATGCACATACTTCTCATGGAAACACCATTCCTGTCTGTCTGTCTGTCTGTCTGTCTGTCTATCTATCTATCTAGTCTGTCTGTCTGTCTGTCTGTCTGTCTGTCTGTCTGTCTGTCTATCTATCGTATCTGTCTGTCTGTCTATCTATCTATCTATCTATCTATCTATCTATCTATCTATCTATCTATCTATCTATGATGGACTGCTACAGTGAGTGCTGTTTGCTGTGACAACTTATGGTTCTGCCACTAATTTCCAAGACACTCTAATGTTCCTTGTTAATGAAGCAACATTTGTCAAACATCCTTCTGTGTGTGATACTTATTTGATATTACATAGCATATATAGGAATAGCATATATTCCTATTGATGCAGAAATAGATATTTGAGAGTTCTCTGTCACTATTTCGTCCATAAAGTCTCAATTTCTTCCATTCCTTCTAAAATATAGTATCAAATCATTTCAATAGATTGACAGAGTTTGGTTTATCTGTTTTAAAACTATCCTTTAGTTATACTCATAACTGTTTTCCATTAAATGTTTGACTAGCTAATTTAGAGACCTGACGTTCTCTACAATTTTAAATGTAAGGACTTATGTTTAGTAGTTTTTCTAAATTTCTAGACATTTTTTTCCATTTCGATCAGTCCAAATGTATTATTTTACTTTTAAAGTGGCATTTCCCAACAAAGATTTTTAATGTTGCTTCTGGCATCCAGACTTTCATTCCAATGTTAACAACAAAGGAAGGTTTTGCTGCTTATCCAGTTTTAATTGATTTTAATGTTAAATACACATTCATACAATGGCTATGACAAATTATATATATATATATATATATATATATATATATATATATATATAGTGTGTGTGTGTGTGTGTGTGTGTGTGTCTATTTATGGTCACATAACAATATTCTCTCCACCTGCCATCACATCCAAGATAGTCAAATGCTTAAGTCTACGTCTCACTGCAAAGCAAGATTAGCAAATCTTTTAGAGATTTCCCTTTTGGATAGAGTATTTTGGATGGAGAAGTATATTTTGTCCTAGATAAAGGCCAATAATTTGATTACTTACTAGGGCAGATCAGGCAAATGCATTCCTGCATTAAAATTATGAGCCCCCCCCCCCTTACTTGTTCCTACAGACTGAGGAAATGAGGTTTACTATGAGTAAACCGTCACTCAGAACTCAACAATGTTTTGTACAATCACCAAACACTTTTAGATAATGTTCAGTTCCCAAAATTCTATACCAGCGGGATGTTAGTTTTCTGTACCCTGTTCTTTTGGACTCCCTGCCACAAACCAATTCCTGCCCCAACCCTCTCTTTTGAATGTTTTCCTCAAATTATGTGCCAAGCCACATTTACTAAAGTTTGAAAAAGTAGTGCCAGGGAATTGGCTGGTTCTCTCTTCCATTAAACTGTATGAAGTTAGAAACACGACTGAGTGCTTAAATGGAGAATGGCCAGAATGACTCAACAGCATGTAAGACCAAAGTTTCCAAAATTTCCTTGTGTAATGTTAAAAAACATTTATGCACATTTGATCTTTTTCAATTCTTTCCAAATTTGAAGACAATTTTTTATTTAAACATCTATGTGCAGAGGTCAAGAAGAAGAGGCATAACTACTAGCTACATAATTTGTCATTCTAATATCTTGGATTGGTCACAACCTTGATCATTTATTTTTACATTTTGATTCCATTTATTTTATCCCCTTTTGGCAGCAAAGGAGCCCCCAAATGATCAGTGAGTGCACATAAAACACTGACAAAATAAAAAATAATATTAATTGTGCACCTCAAGCAGTGAGCACTGAATGCTGAAAGAATCAAATGATCATAGCAGGTTATAGTTGGCTCTTGGTACACATCTGAACAATACAGACCACATCATCTCTGGCAAATAGGACTGGATGGTGTTCACACTTCCATAGACAAAGGCAGAATGAGGTGTCCTTAAAGGTGTGAGCATAAGGGCACTGCTGCCACTACATCTTCCATTATATCTTCTACTTCTTTTCTTCTCCACAATTGTTCTTCCTCCAATCTCTAGCCACTCGAACCAATATATTTGGGGCTTGGTAGGAACTCTGGAGTGTTTCTGGTCTCCAGAATTACAGTCCAACATTCAAACCACAACAGCACTCTGGATGTTTAGAATAGAGCTCCGTTAGAAATCTGTTTCCTTCTGTTGTCCATTTTTTTTACCAAATAGCTTCATGTAATTTAGCCCTGGCTGCTGAACAAAACTTACTGAATCTTGTAATTCAGTTTTTGTGTGTGATGTCCAGGAACACCAAATCTGATGCAGTCACTGTCGGTTTTATATCACAAATACAGTACTGGATTTGTTTTTTATTTCTGTGTTGCAATTGAGGATTTTGGGGCACATTTCATGTGGTCCCTCCATAAAAGGCTTTCTGATTTGGGAAACCTTTCAGTAGCAATGCTACAGTACAATCAGCACCGGTTCTCTCACAACACAGGATCACACAATCCCAACACCACAGAAAGGCACTGCCAGTGAGTATGTGATGACATCACTCAGATCCATGGAGAAATCCATTGTGAAAAAGGTGAAGAAGAAGAGGAAGATAATTAAATATGGAGATTTACCAATTGGGATAAATTGCCCCTGGAAAAAACAACAACAACTATAGTTCCAATACTCTGGGAGCAATTTCAAATGAAATGACAAAGCACTTGTGTGAAATTTCCATACACATGATTACAAAAAACAACACTGCTTGAAGCATGACACATTATCTTACAACACCGCATAGCCATAACCGTGAATTGAAAATATCACCCTGTCCCTCCCATAACAATCTCCAAAAGCAAACCTTTATTTGCCATTTTATATAGGGAATACCATTTTATTATGCCATTGCATACAATGAGACTTCGGGATTCATGGATTTTTGGTATTGCACCACCTGACATCCGCCGGGAAGTAGCAACCAATAGTGAAAGGACAAAGGCAGTGACATCTCCAGCTCATCCCGTTTGGATATTAGCCAGAACGTCAACGACTTAAATAAATAGTTTTCTAAGATCTGCAGAGACACTCGCTGGAACACCTCAGCAAGCGAGAGTCCAAAAGTGGCAGGCTCAAACGCAGAACCTCAACCAATGGCTGATACCAAATGAGAGACTCCCCCCTGGGCACACAGAAAACTGGGCGACTTGGAAGGCGCTGAACAGACTGCGCTCTGGCACCACGAGATGCAGAGCCAACCTTAAGAAATGGGGCCACAAAGTGGAATCCACGACATGCGAGTGTGGAGAAGAGCAAACTACAGACCACCTGCTGCAATGCAACCTGAGCCTTGCCACATGCACAATGGAGGACCTTCTTATAGTAACACCAGAGGCACTCCAAGAGGCCAGCTACTGGTCAAAGGATGATTGTCTTCCAATATTCTTGTGGGTCCGTATGTGGCTGTGGAGCCCTATTCTTGCTCTGCATCTTCTTCCGCAGTGAGGGCATTGGTTTCCAGGTGGAAGGCGGTCTCGGCCGGGGTTGGCTTGACGCGCCTTCCTCTTGGCACGTTTCTCTTTTTCACCCTCCCCTCGTGCCTCCTCAAATTCTGCAGCACTGCTGGTCACAGCTGACCTCCAGCTGGAGCGCTCAAGGGCCAGGGCTTCCCAGTTCTCAGTGTCTATGCCAGAGTTTTTAAGGTTGGCTTTGAGCCCATCCTTAAATCTCTTTTCCTGTCCTCCAACATTCCATTTTCCATTCTTGAGTTCAGAGTAGAGCAACTGCTTTGGGAGACGGTGGTCGGGCATCCGGACAACGTGGCCGGTCCAAACCTTCTTATAGTAACACCAGAGGCACTCCAAGTGGCCAGCTACCGGCCAAAGGACATTTAACCAACTACCAAGCTTGCAAACTTTGTGTTTTGTTTGTTTGTTGGTTAAAAAATGCAATGCAACTGTCTGCTCTGCCCCTGACACGATAAAAAAAAACCAAAACCAGACTGGGCCATAGCAATGCATGGCAGGGGACAGCTAGTAAATAAAGAAATTTCTGGAAGCACGCTCTTATTTGCACAAGCTTAACCCAGCTAACGCTCTTGAGGTAATTTGAACTCCCCCAAAGGTCTCAGAGGCTGGAGAATGAAGATTCAGGAGGGAAGGATGCCCTGAAGGGATGATTGACAGGGGCAGGCGCGAGGCGGAGGGGGGCGGGGTCAGGTCGGCTCGCGCCCGCAGTGAGAGAAACACCTACTTCTTGCAAGGGATGAGGCCCTTCTTCTCCTCCAGGACCCGGAGCCGCTGGTTGGGGCTGTCGTAAGCGACGGAGGCCCGCGTGTTCCTGCCCGTGACGTGGTCGTAGGCCACGGTGCGGCCCTCCCACTGCAGCGGGGCCAGGCAGGGGGTCGCCGCCCGCGCCCCGGCCCTCCCACAGAGGCAGGGGACGAGCAGGAGGAGGAAGAGGCGCCCGCGCAGGCCGGCCATTCCCTCGGCGCTGCCCCGGGGCTTCTCTCCAGGAGGGAGTCAGGCCGAGGAGGCGCCTTCTGAGCGAGGGCCGGACAGGAACTGCAGGGGGAGCCAGCGGCGCTTACCCGACTCGCCCTCGCTTCCTCCGCGCAGGTCAGCCCAGGAAGGAGGGAGAGGGACACTCCATCTTCAGAGGAAGGGGTCGACATTTGAGGGGGAAAGTGGCCACATTCTCCATCAAGGAAAGGCCCAGGAAGACCTTGCTTCATCTAGACAGAATCATAGAGTTGGAAGAGACCACTTGGGCCATCTAGTCCAACCCCCTGCCATGCAGGAAAAGCACCATCAAAGTAGGGTGTGTGTGTGTGGAATTGATAGCTTTATCTATCCAGATAGATAGAGATACATCTGTTTATTGATTAGTCCATTGACCATATCAACAACAAAAGACTAAATTATTATTATTATTAACTTTATTTATACCCCGCAAAATCTCCTGAAGGACTCGATGCGGCTTACAAAGGCCAAGGCCGCCGACAATACAAATTACAATACACAATAAACTCATAAGCAAATAATAATCAAAATATTTATTTCGGTCATTGACCAGCACAGGAAATAGTGTCACATTTCCATACAAACCTGGCATGTTTGGTACATTAAAAATATAAATATATAGCCGCATCGAGTCCTTCGGGAGATGCTAGCGGGGTACAAATAAAGTTAATAATATAAATATAACTACTAAAAACACAATATGGGTGAGGGAGCAGAAGGGGAAACAGGGTAAAAACATACAATGCCCAGATCCATCACCAAATTATAGATTCAGGGAAGAAGATTACTGGACACACAGTTGACTTTTGGAGCTAGCAATGGCCAAATAGTTATGGGTAATGGCAAATAATAAAACATAAGCAAATAATAAAACATCAAGCAAAACAGTAAAACAATAACAATGACACCGTGACGCAATTAAAACCAGGCTGGGCCAAATGTAATGAACACAATTTAAAAGTGCTGGACTTGACAGGTAATATGAGATGGTATTTGACAGGTAATATGAGGAGGTAGGTGCATGTGCAGATAATCCTGAATCTCTAATGTGCATTTGGGACTCAAGCTAGGAGTTTCCTATTCCGGAAAGGCACACTGAAACAGCCAGGTCTTCAGACTCTTCCTAAAGATAGCCAACGTTAGGGCTTGTCTGATGTCCCTGAAGAGAGAGTTCCAGAGTCGGGGGGGCTACCACAGAGAAGGCCCTGTCCCTCGTCCCCACCAAACGCGCCTGCGACGCAGGTGGGACTGTGAGCAGGGTCTCTCCGGATGATCGAAGGGAGCGTGCGAAGGGACCATGAGCAGGGCCTCTCCGGATGATTGAAGGGAGCGTAACACAGACAAATAGATACCAGTCAAAGCCCCAAACCTCTTCCCATGGTTAACTCAAAACAAATTCGAAAACTATAAAATAAATACAGAACAAGTTTGGTTAAATTTGATTAAATTACAAAATAAGCCCGGGGGGGGGGGGGAGAGGCAGGGGTAGAATGACCAATGTAAAAAAATCAATTGGGAGAATTTAAATAAGTTCATCTCTATATTATTTATTTATTTATTTATTACCCCGCTTTTCTCCCATGGGTGGGATTTAAAGTGACGTACAGTGGTTAAAAACGACAAAATTACGTAACATAAAAATACAACAAAATCATATAAGTACAGTAAACACAATTACTACATAAGTCAAATTTAACAAATTAATAAATTAACAACAAAAACAAAAAAGCATAAAAAATCACAATAGCACATATATGTTTAACATAATTAAAACATTATACCATTAAAAATTCCCTGACCCTCAAGCCATTAAGGACATCCCTAATCATCTATATATATAAAAATGCTCTGTGCATAATGAGTACCTTAAAAACAAAAGAACCAATGAACGAAATCACACCAAATTTGGCAACAAATCTCACAACACAAGGAGTGACCATCACTCAAAAATTATGATTTTGTCATTTGGGAGTTGTAGTTGCTGGGATTTATAGTTCACCTACAATCATAGAGCATTCTGAACTTCACCAACGATGGGGAATTGAACCAATCTTGGCACACAGAACCCCCACAACCAACAGAAAATACTGGAAGGGTTTGGTGGGCATTGACATTGAGTTTTCGAGTTGTAGTTCACTTACATCCAGAGAGCACTGTGAACACAAACAATCATGGATCTAGACTAAACTTGGCACAGATACTCAATAGGTGTTGGCTAGCTGGTATCCAAACAGAGGAAGAGCCGGAGGTGTCAGTGCCTTGGTCTTCATTACAGGCTTCTACTTCATGATGGATGATAATTTATTCTAGGGTCCTAAAAACTCCATTGTCTTTAGGTTGTGTTAAAATATTGTCAGTCCAAAATAGCATTTCAAAAACATACCATTACCCGTAACTATTTGGCCATTGCCTATTGTTGATCTTCAGGAAAGGCCTGGTTCCATAAAAAGGTTTTAACCTTAGAGTGAAAGGCTAGCAAGGAGGGGGCCGATTGCACCTCTCTAGGAAGGGGGTTCCAGAGCTATGGGGCCACCACCAAAAAGGCACTTGCGACAGTGGTGGGACTGAGAGAAGGGCCTCTCCTGCTGATCTCAGGGCTTGTATCTATCAAAATAGAAGATTTGGGATGTCTGGCCCTTCTGCATATTAGAGAACATAACCTTTTAGAGAAGAGCCAAAAAACCTTTAGAGCAGAATCCAATCCAATAAGCTTTTATTGGCATTTACATAGCAAAGAGATATAAAATACAGTACAAATAATAGAAAAAGGACATAGAGCAGAATCTCTTCTTGTAGTATACAACCAAATATAACTATGCTAGGCAATTGTTTCAGTTGTTAGACTGAATAACCAGCAATCTGATCTGTCAAGAAAACAGATTTTCCAGTGCATGAAAACAGCAAAGCTTTAAAAGTGACCTCCCCCCCAAAGGCACTCTCCCATAAAACAACTGGTTTCATATCATGCACTCAAAGAGACAAAATAAAGTAGACATTGATGGAAATAACATATTTGGTTTACTCACAAATTTCATGTGTTCAGTATACACAGGTACAAAAAATTATTAGTCCAATTTCAAATACCTCTCTCTTGTAACAAACCAGCTATCAGTAGGTCACATAGTCAAAAGGAGAGAGGGAGGGAATGTGTGGTCTGCGCTGCAACCCCTTTTACAACTTCTCAGAAACTGTAAAATAAAGGAAGCTGCACCCCAGAACATACATGCAGGAAACAGTAAGCAACAAGATCATAGACAAACAGATTGCTAGAGAAGGCTTTACGAAAGTTGTCATTCCAACACCACACAGGCATATAACCCAGAATATCTGCTTTGAACTGGGTTATCTGAGTCCATACTTCCACATATCCCACTTTAAAGCAGATAATGTGGGATTTTATACAGCTGTGTGGAAGGGGACCCAGCTCATCTAAGGTCCCAAACAGCCCTATATCCCAAAATATCAAGGCAAAAATTCCACAATATCTGCTTTGAACTTAGTTATCTAAGTCCATGCTCAGATGATGTGAGCTTTTCTTCCTTGATATTTTGGGATCTAGGGCTGTGTGGAAGGCCTGAAGTCTACCTCCCAAGTTCATGGTGTTGAATCATTGATCCCTGACCCATCATCAGTGAAATAATAATAATGATAATAACAACAACAACTAGTCAGGGAATGGTTTTTAACTGTTTTGATAGTTTTAAATTGATTTTTTTAGTGCTATGTGTTTAATTCTATTTTAATGTTTGCATTTTTGTGTATTTTAAATGGTATAGTAATGCTTTTATGTCAAACCGCTTTGAGCCCCTTGGGGAGACAAAGTGGGGTATAATAATAATAATAATAATAATAATAATAATAATAATAATAATAGAAATAACATTATGTAGCACGATTTTTATTCCTGGGTTACAAATATCATTTCCGAATTGGTTCTATCATACAAATATGGAAAATGTTTAGAAAATGGCAAAAACTTTGTTTTTGCAGGACGTCCTGCAGCACATCTTGCTCTAGTTCTTCAATGAATATCGCCTCGTGTCTCAACCAATTCAACATAGTTTGTGGCAGCCACCAAAACAAAGTTTCTGGAGTAGAACAACTACTTTCAAAGTAAGTGCTGCAGAATTAAACAGGAAATAATACTTTCAAACCAGGATTAGATTTTCTTTTCAAATTTTGACACATAGTGTAATTAGAGACTGATTGAAATTAATCAGATCATAGGACCAATTTGACCAATGTGATATCAGTTCTACTGCGCTAAGTATGATGAAGCCTGGATCCAAATCAGCATCTCAAACAAAACATGACCATCTGGAATCTATCACGTTTCTACTTTTTAAAGGATAGAAAGAACAGCAACTGATCTGATTGAGAATTTCTCTGTAATGTTTCTCTTTTACACTTTTCCTGCTCTTCCCCCTTTCACTATAACCATCATCTTCACAAACCAGAAGTACAGGTTTGATCACTGCACATGAGAGAGATGTTTGGCTCTATCATAAAGAACATGGGAAAAGTTTAATAAATGATAAAACGTTGTTTTTGCAGGACATCCTGCAGCACATTTTGCTATCGTTTTTCAATGAATATCTCATAGAATCCCAACCAAAGCCCCGTTTAGCCCCTTCCACACTGCCCTATATCCCTGGATCTGATCCCAGATTATATGCTTATCCCAGATTATCTGGCAGTGTAGACTCATATAATCCAGTTCAAAGCAGATAGTTTGGGGTCAGATGCTGGGGTATAGGGTAGTGTAGATCCAGCCCTACACAGCCATATTAAATTCAGATTTAAACTGGATTATCTGGCAATGTAGACTCATAATCCCATTCAAAGCAGAAAATGTGAATTATCTGCTTTGATAATCTGAATTATATGGCAGTTTAGATCCAGTCCAATTCAACATAGTTTGTGGCAGCCAAAAAAATGAATATAACATTCTGGAATATAACAGCTATTTCCAAAGTATATACCACACAAACAGGAAATAACATTTTCAAACCAGGAACGTACCATTTTTCAATTTTTGTTACATAGTGTCATTTATTCCCAACCCATCATCAATGATATTATTATTATTATTATTATTAATAATAATAATAATAATAATAACCTGCATCTTCCGTGGAGAAATTGCCATATACATATCCATAGCAATGGAACTGATTAGCTTTTCCCAAATATTCTTTAAAATGTTATAGAA